TAAAATCAAAGGAGAGACCTTGGCAGAAATCAACCCGCCTATAAAACACACGACCAAACCTTGTCTCAGTAAGCGCTGTGCGACTTGTCCATTTACCAAAACAACCACTTCTTTTGTCAGCTCTAATAACTCTAGTGCTCATTATATTTCGGAAAACCTGAATTGCGGATCCAGAAATGTCATTTATCTGATAACTTGTACCAATTGTAGGATGCAATATGTAGGACAAACCACACTAACTCTTAGAGAGAGATTCACATGCCATCGCTTTGACATAATACACGCCAAAGACAAACCAGTTTCAAACCATTTTAACCAAATTAACCACACTCTAAAAGATGTTTCCATAATTCCAATTGAGAGAGTTCCCAATTCGGACCAACTAGACGATAGGGAACAATTTTGGATGAATAAACTTCAAACCCTAAAACCTAACGGTATTAATGAAAAAGCCATTTCGAACCAAATTCTCCCCTTTGTCATTACCTACAATAGGACAGCCCAAACAGCGAGCCACAAGGTAAGAAAACATTACGTAGACTTAAGAACAAAGTTACCAGAAGTATTCAAATCTAAACTAGTTACAGCCTACCGTAAAAACAAAAGTTTGCAAGACCTGTTAGTTCGTAGCCGACTTAAAGCAGCAACATAAACACTTAGGCCAGTGCACAGGGATTAAACCCTAATCCCTAACCTTAATCCTTAAACCTAACCCTAACCCTAACCCTTACCCTAATCAATACGACAGCGTGTTATTCTCGAAGATGTATTTTTTCTAATGTGGATATTTCCAAATTAACAGCACTGATTTAAAGTGGATATGTTCCAAAATTGTTATATCATTATAATGTCGATTTATCGCAAATAATTATATTCATAATGTCCATATATCGAAAATAATAATAACATAAAGTGAATTTGTCCCCAATACTTATATATATGGTTATGTCTATATATCCCCTCAGACTTTATTAAATGTTGATATCCCAATTAAATTGTTATAATTATGTGGATATGTTCCAAACAATATATGTTATATTATATAAATGAGAAAATGTCCCAAATAATTATGTCCCCGATGATTATATTATTATATAGTGGATATATCCCCCAAAATTTTACCATAATAACGTGGATATGTCCTTAATAATCATATTGTTATAACGTCCATATGTCCCGAATAATTATATTATAATGTCGATATATCACCAAAACATATATATTTAAATGAGGCTACGTCCCCAATAATAATATTATCATAATGGGAATATGTCCCGTATGAAATCACAGCTTTAAATCATGTTAACGCTCGCGTGTGACAACGTTCTGATATGGGTTTGTTCATAACATTTATATAAAAATGTGGATATGTCCAAGGCAATAAAATCGACATTTTCCTTACAATATATTACCTAATTTGAAAACAGCCTTGGCTTCCTTGCAGTCAAATAAGTACCAAAAGTAAGCCGGCTTCGAATATAGCCCAGCCTTGAAAGTTTTGTCTTTCCAAGATGGAGGAATTTGCAAATCAACGAGGTTTTTGCAAAAACACAAAACATAAAGCAAACACTAGACAAATAATTTATAGCTGTGTAATCAGCACAGATTACACGACTTTTTACGTTGAAAGATTTTTAATTTTTGAAGCAACATGAAACTATGGCTTGGACCATTTAAGTGGCTTTGAAGTAAGACAGCCTTAAAAATAGGCTGAATTCGAAATAAACGTCGGATTCCCTAACAAAAACGAAAATAAACGCCGGCTTTTTCGAGATTTTAGGTATTTCACTTTGAATTAAATAGCATTGCTTTCGGTTTAAGAGGATTTTTATTACAAAGACGATTTTGAATCCCTATTCTGAAATTTTTGAAAAACAAGAATGTGTTCACACAATTTATGCTTTCAAGATGACGATGTATTATTTTTGCCTTACAGATGATGATCAGGACGGACAAAACAACGAGGACTGTGCAAAGCTCGCAGCAGGTAAGCGGATACTGATAAACTTGAGAAAAATTCATTCCTATACAGTGATTGCTATACTGTAGAATATCCTACTACAGTTTCTGTAGTAAGGGCATGAATTGTAAAATCAACATTTACATGAAACCAAAGCTTGCTGGCGATGGGAATGTCACCTGATGAGAAAAGCATGAAAAATAGGTGAATTGAATGAAAAATAGATAAAGTCTAACTTTACTATAAACATCTCAGAAGACAAACTTAAGGAGATGTCTTGATCTAAAACCAATACTCAGTCCCTAGTTCCATGATAGCGTGATACCGTGATACAGTAAAACCCCGCTAACTCGAACTTGAGGGAACCAGATCAATATAATAGTTCGAGGAATACATAGTATTCGACGAATCCGAGGTTAGTCCTACATCGTCAGATTTTGATCATGTGGGACGGCAGACACCACGAGCACTGCAAGTATCGGGGTAAGTAGATGATAGAAGCACATGTATTTGATTCCTAAAACTTGCTTTTCTTAATGACTTGATTATTATGCTTTCCCTGCTTATCTCGAGTTTTAAGTTATATCCAAGATAATAATGTACGGCCGTGCATAGCAATAATTAGTGTTGTATGATGATAATGTACGGCCGTGCATAGCAATAATTAATGTTGTATGATGATAATGTAACGTCGTGCATAGCAACAATTAGTGTTGTATGATGATAATGTACGGCCGTGCATAGCAATAATTAATGTTGTATGATGATAATGTACGGCTGTGCAAAGCAATAATTAATGTTGTATGATGATAATGTACGGCCGTGCATAGCAATAATTAATGGTGTATGATGATAATGCATTGCGTGATGTATATGAACAGTTTTGATGATTTAGGATCCTAATGAATTATATATATCACAAAAAAATAATTGATTTCGTAATGTTACACATTGCCAGTGGACGGTGGATGGACCGATTGGGGTGACAACGGTGAATGTTCTATCACGTGTTCGGAAGACAATTGGCCAAGAAAGGGAATCCAAACACGAAGACGCACATGTTCTAATCCTGAACCAGCGAATGACGGCCTGCCATGTATAGGGTCCAATGTAGACTATCGCTCGTGTGGTTCTACTATGATATGTCCAAGTGAGTATCTGATCCCTCGATAGCGTGTAATCAACATATGCCGGTGGCTATCAGATATATCTGCCATAAAGTGTATATACTGTAGTAGATCTATCTATTGTCAAAAAAGTCCTTTACTCCTAAGAGTATCTTAAATCTTAAATCTTCAAATTCCCTTGTTAGACAGCCTGACGCTACCTAACTTAAATACCAGTCTTGGAATAAGAATAAAAATGAAAAAGTACATACGCAGCTCTAAGCATACATGACACTGTGTTTCCATAACAAAACTCAAGGACTTCGCTTCAGCAAATGAAACTCCTTACTCGACCCGTCTATTTTGCACTATTCAGATCAGCCACCTGTCATCATCTCTAACACGTGCTTGTAGATTGTGATAGTACGTTCAAATGTTTTATTTACCTATTCATCTGATGACTTAGTTAGTGGGGTCATCTCAGTGATCTATTGTTCGAAATAGAAATAGGTTTAAAGCCTTACCTGTACATTTTTCTGAAGAGTTCATCTTCTTTAGAATGCGTTGTAAGAATGATATAGAAACATTACCAACTTCTCTAAATGAGTATTAAAGTCAAGGAATAAGTTGTTTGGACAATATCATATATACATGTACCCACTGCATCTGATGATATGCTACAAAATTCATGGTCTTCCTAAACCCAACGCAATCTGGCTCCTTTAAAAATTGTCAAAACAATGTTCACCCTTGTATCAAATGTGACCTCTTTTTTGTCAAACTGCTGGATTCAGTAAACAAAACAATTGTTAGCCCATCTCTACATTTCTATGAATATTTGTCAACATTGAAAGCACTTTCTCACCGACGATTATTAAACCATATCTTCCAAATCACTTATAATAGAGTTGACAAATGCATAGCATGTCATGATAATACTTAAGATGTGTAATAATGGTTGTTTTTCCAGAAAGTTTCAGTTACATCATCGGATTTATGGAAACAGCTGACAACGCTTCTCACCTTGTGTCTATTGTAAACGTCGATGACAACCAGGCAAACATAACGATTTTGTCAAAATCTGGAATCATACAAACTAATTATCTGAACTCTACAGACACGATTGTTGTACCAGTTGGTATACCGTTCACAGTGACAGAATCAAAACTAAGTGCAAAGGCCATTCGAGTACTGTCAGATAAAAATGTGGTGGTGTACGGTTTTAACAACCAACCAACGACACCATATATGGCGGGGTTTATTGCCACCGAAGAAACTTCGCTCGGTACTATGTATTTTGCTGTAACAGCAAATGCCCTAGTCGGTGAGTTGTCAAACCCTCAAATTCTGATCGTTGCTTCCCAGTCCGCTACTAGTGTAAACGTCTTGATAAGATTGATCAATGGCGAAGAAGACGGAATCAAGATAAACAATGTTTTATATGTGAATGGCGATGTGTTCAACGTCGTGATGGAAGAATTCGATACTTTACAGATACAAAGTAAATTCGGCGACTTAACAGGGACGAGGATTCAGTCAGAAAAACCAGTCAACGTATTTAGTGGAAATAAAGGCATCACTTCGCGTTCAATGGATAGTCATCTGGTGGAACAGTTGCCGCCTGTCAATAACTGGGGTACAAAGTTTGTATCAATCGCCCCGACAAATGCTATTTACCAGTGCAAGATAGTTACGTTTTACCCCAACACGAGGGTGACGTATACCTGCTCTTCAGATTTGGCACAAAACTCAGTTTTTCTAGACCATGAAGGGGCTCACACAAACTTGCAACTTGACCCTGAAACTTGCTCTCTCGTTTCAGATAACCCGATTATGATAGCAATGTTCACGAATCGAAACAATGGAAATCCCGATGTGGTAATAGCAATGTCCACGAATAGCAATAATGGTAATCCGTCTTTGGTTATACTGCAGCCCCTCGAATCAGTCAGCGGCAACCTGGTGTTTCACATACCAGAAACTGTCGACGAAGCGGAATTCGTGTTTTCAACACAAACTGAAAGCTATAAACATATTACCATTGATTGTGATAATATGACAGGGCCTGGATTAGTCGTAGATGGTATGATCTCCAGTCATAAGTCCGTGGGTAGTGGACTTCACATCGTCAGGACCAATGGCAGCTCTGTCCTGGTGGCTGGCTATGTTCATGGATGGATACAAGCTAAAGCATTCAGTTATCCCCTCGTTATAAACAGTAGTCTGGTAGGTCTCTTTCTTTGTATTACGTCCTTTATTCAGTACTAACTGATATCAGTAGTATTTAAGGTCTTTTCCGTTTTAGTGATCATCATTGTTAGCAGTAGTATTTAAGGTCTTTTCCGTTTTAGTGATCATCATTGTTAGCAGTAGTGTATAAGGTCTTTTCCGTTTTAGTGATCATCATTGTTAGCAGTAGTATTTAAGGTCTTTTCCGTTTTAGTGATCATCATTGTTAGCAGTAGTATGGTGTGTTGCATTATGTGTAATGCTTTCTTAAGCCAGTTACCTTCGTGTTGTTGGCAGTTGTTTAGTGCGTACTTAGTTCTTATAGTTAACAGTTGTTTGGTTTATCATTGTTTTCGTTGTAGTACTACCTTCAGATACTCTACATTACTTAGATGCTGACGACAGTAGTCTAGTGTGGTGATTTCATTGATGTAACCCTCGGTTACCAGTTGTAGGGTAGGTTGTTTTGATTATAATGTATCCTCAGCTTCATTTGTGTTTTATATTACTCTCTGGTAAATAATGTTCGTGGTAGCGCGTAACTTGTGTTGTCAACAGTTGTTGGCTATGTGGTTTTCTTTGTTGTTCTAACTTAATTTACCTTTTTGTTTCTTACAATAATGTATTATTTTGTTTTATTTGTAGTACGTTCTTGAGACATACATTTGTTAACATTTGTCTAATATGCCGAAACCTGGCACGTCCTTAAATGACCATAGCTGTTAATAGGACGTAAAACACAAACAAACTAATATGTTGTTTCAGTCAGATTGGTACTTTTATATGTTACCGAATTACGTTTAAACTGGTCTGGTTTATTGTGTTAGGTGTATAATCACCTTCGGTTACCTTCCTATTATCAAAAGTAATCAGGCATATTGTTTTCTTTGTACAGTTACATTCATTTAACATCTAGCTAACGATAGGATTAGACAGACATAATGTTTTTTTATATAGCTCTTCAACTTCCAACTTGTTATTAAAATATCGTTATTAATATGTAATAGATGTCAACTGCTGAAAGACTAAATTATAAAACAGGGTTACCAAAGACGCAGGTTGATGAAGATAGTTAGTTGACAAGTTTTATGGTCAGCATCTCGCAGAGAAATAGGTTATTTCTTGTGTGTTATGAAGGGCGATACTGTTGTATGCGTATTGGAGTGCTTTGTGGCTGTGTTGTCACTTCTCCAGTTTTCGATGTGAGGACGTGACATTACTAAGATGCTGACGACCCTTACCCTTCCGGAATACCTGGTCAGATTCTCATTGTATTTTGTCAAAGATATTCATGTAAATCTTTCCTTTGTTCATATTTTAACCTAGTTTTATCCATTTTAAGTTCGTATTATTGTTGTTTTGACACTCATGTATTCTCTTGTTGTTTTTCATTATTATACATCCTTCGTGTACCATGTTGTAGTCAAATACATTTTTTTAAGATTTTGTCATAAAAGCGATGATAAATTGTTGCACACAGTTTTGTTCAAATAAAGAAGCTGTACTCCTAGAAATCAAAATGACTTACCATGAAACAGATATGTTGTAACTTTAGCAAAAATAAGATGAAATAAATGAAAAATGTTGGTGATATCCTTTTTCATTTCGTAGGTGGAAGGAACAGATGCCTTGCTACAAGAATGTGAAACCATCCGACCTACAGCAGCACTGACTAGAACCATCCAGTCTACAGCAGCACCTACTGGAGCCATCCGACCTACAGCATCATTTGTGGAATCCACCAAACCTACACTAGTATTAACGGACAACTCAACTTCCTCGTGCTCCTGTAATAGTTGTGGCAATTACAGCTTCTCTAATTATACTACTGAGGAACTTCATGCCGTCATAGAACAACTTCGGGCAGAACTTCTTGTTCAAAGGAATTCGACTAGTAGTTATATACGTACCAAGATATCAGCGAAGGACAATCGGCCGTCTTCTACAGCTATAGGTTGTGTAGGCTGTATGATTCTAGTCATAGCAGGACTAGGAATTCTGGCCATGGATGCTGGTGTTCTGGTCGAGGTTATAAAAAACATAAAACGAAACGTTTGTCCGGTATAAAAAGATATTATCCTATTTCCGTTTCAACCATTTTTATTGACAAATTGTTACAGTCAAATATGTTGAATAACCGGTCAAGTCTATATACAAATTCTCTCCATGAAATCTTTATCAAATAAGTTGTCCGTGAATTAATTAAGTGTGATTAAATTTAATTTGAAATGATAAATTATATGGGATAGCAACAGCGTTATATAGCAAGGGAGATAACTCTCCCACGTAAAAATATATGGAGATGAACTGGAACACCTATACAACATACAAACCGTTTTCCTTCTTCGATTACATGTATACAGATGTCACTTTGCAAAGAGACCAGTTGGTAATCATTAACCAAATATTAAAATATTATCCTAATAGCTGAAATTTAAATACATGATAGGATTTTAGACAAAACATAATACGCTCAGTAGTATTCATGTAATCGCTGATCCTGAATAATTGTATTTTGAAAGTAAACATTTGTTTTTGCTGTTTATTAAATACCAATGGTTTCGTTATTTGCTATTCGCTTTCACGTTGTAAAAAAATCAAAGAAATTCCTTAACCCTTATGTTTTGTAAAAACAGTCAAAAGGACGACAGGATTACCGCCGTTGTGGAGTACATTGATAGATGCCGACAAAAGATAACATGATTTTAGATCAGGCTAGGCATATTCTTATAGAAAAGCACTGATAGATGATTGGACTTCTCCAGACTGTTGTAGAGTACAATATCACTGAATTGATAGAACTTGGACACTTTAGCATTATATCACACAAATCATTCTGACAACCGCTTTTTAAAAATTCCCAAGGACACACCCAGAACAAGAAAAGGGAAATGTGGGATGAAATAAGCAGAAAGAGGTCCAATATGATGACAATCAATCGCTGCCATTTATATCCACAAAAAGAGCCCTTTAATACGATTTCTGAAAAAGGGCCATATAGGTTTTAATTAACGATCGCGCTGCTGGGTACGACAGGACCATTGGTTTCTTTATACAACGGAAACACTGATTAGAAATAAATACTGTTAACTGAACATTCTATAATCGCAATAAGGACCATGTTTTTCGTTCACTGTACATGTATATTCAGTTGTAGGAGTAAATCTTTGCTTGGGGCATCCATTTTTATTGTATTTTTCTGACAGTATCCTTCATGCTTTTAAACAACGCAGAATACCAAATGTTAATGAAAATGGTAGCTCTTTCGCTGTTCATTTTCAATGTAGTTAGCAATTGATATAGAACAATGGAGTTATAGAGTTATTTTATTGAAATGAAGTTATTTGTTGAATGTAAGTATACTTTCAACCTTTCTAATGGCTACACGTTTTAATAAATACACCTGAAGTTCATGTTTACATCGTTTTTTTCCCAACCGTTTATCGAGTTGATTGCACATACATTATTGATAAATTGATGGATGCGAACTAAAGGGGAAGTCATTGTGTATATTATAGCCAAAGAAATCTTAAAAATACCCAATCGAACCCTTATTTCATTAACTGACATTGGAAATGGACGTATGTCAATCATATAGCTGACGAAGAAGCATACCTTAAACGTTCAGTGCGCGACATATCGAAAAGCATTGTTGATTGATGACTTGATAACGATTTTAACACTTGAATCCGAATTTTGGACGTATTTTCACATTATTTAGACAAGATGTACTTTCCATTAAATCTATTTCATTTCCTTCATTCATTTCTTCCCATTTATTTACTTTTGTTTTTACGTAATGTGTTGTGTATGTTTAATTGGATATAGCTTTTATTATAGCTATTTATATATTCCATCCTATTTAACAGTGGTACCGTACGTTTGAACATCTGCAATGTTAGTACAAGTGTTGCAACGTTGAAACATATGTAAACGGAACACGTTAGTAGTGTTTATCAAATTCTTACATTAAAAAGGAAACTTAAGCTTGTATGTTACTATCTTAACAATTTTAGTCCTTATCTCAACAACTTTACACAGGACACTACGTTACAATATTGTTTAGTGTAATATATTACTTTGTTTTATCTGTGATGTTCCTAAAAAGATGGTCGGGTGACGCATTGGATAGCGCACCTCCCTTTCACCAAGGCGGCCTGCATCCTCGATATCCAGGGGCTACGCTCACTTCCGCTCATTACACCCCTGGAATATGTCATAGCAAAATTGAAGGCACGAAGATAGCTGTTTGATTGGTCTCAGGTAAAAAAAAACCTGACCAATCGCTAGGCTGCAGCCTAGCGCCTGCATGTCCTTTGAAGATTACCGTTACGTGACCGCGACTAACTAGAGTTTTTTTTATGTTTTATAAATACCTAAGTAGACTCCTATCCATATTGTGATGATTGTGATATTTTAGTTCGGCATGATAAATGTGTAAGTGACTGTGCGACATAACTTTCGATTTTAGATTCTCGACAATGTTATGGTTTTAAAGGGAGGTTCTTTTTGTGAGGAAATATGTAAGGGCAATAATCTTTTTTTCCTATTTCAATTTAAAAATGATAAAATGCAACTGTCATAACTTTGACACGGAAGCATTACACTTCATCCGCTCACATTATTCTGTGACCTGGCCAATCAGAGGTACCTAAGACGCCACCAATAAGACAATGAAATACGTAGATTTTTTTTTTTTATAAATGACCAAATGGGGAGAATAGGAACAAACAGATCAGTTTGTTTTCTTTCAAACTCTTTATGTCCAATAATAAAATATATTATAGACACAACCCTTCATTTAATTTAAATATCTAAATAGATGAAGATATTATCATCTAGTTATTTTCAATATTTTGACACTAGATATACGACGTACCTTTGAGTGAATTCATTAAAGCATTCGACTAGTATTATATTTTTTCCGAACTTGCCTTCAGAAATAAAATCATCATTATGTCCTTTTAAGGATCTTTATTTGAAGCTATTGACTTAAACATTTTTTTCTTATACAAATACTCCACATGGACCTTGTTGAGATATTACTTTCTTGACGTCACTCAGTTTGTATAACACTTCTACATATTTTCACAATCAAAGCATGGTTATGAAATGTACATGAAAAACAATGTCATCATTAAAAAAAATGAGTTCCTTTATCGGTACTGTAAATAATATTTAACATGTGTCTGAATGAGACATAGCAAGTTTCGGTTCTTCTGGAGACGCCTCTGAATACGCCGGTGGAGGGTCCAGTGTTGAATGTACACTTCTCCCTGGCGCTGACGCTGCTGGAGACGCCTCTGAATACGCCGGTGGAGGGTCCAGTGTTGAATGTACACTTCTCCCTGGCGCTGACGGTGCTGGAGACGCCTCTGAATACGCCGGTGGAGGGTCCAGTGTTGAATGTACACTTCTCCCTGGCGCTGACGGTGCTGGAGACGCCTCTGAATACGCCGGTGGAGGGTCCAGTGTTGAATGTACACTTCTCCCTGGCGCTGACGGTGGAGGGTCCTGTGTTGAATGTACACTTCTCCCTGGCGCTGACGGTGGAGGGTCCTGTGTTGAATGTACACTTCTCCCTGGCGCTGACGGTGGAGGGTCCTGTGTTGAATGTACACTTCTCCCTGGCGCTGACGGTGGAGGGTCCTGTGTTGAATGTACACTTCTCCCTGGCGCTGACGGTGGAGGGTCCTGTGTTGAATGTACACTTCTCCCTGGCGCTGACGGTGGAGGGTCCTGTGTTGAATGTACACTTCTCCCTGGCGCTGACGGTGGAGGGTCCTGTGTTGAATGTACACTTCTCCCTGGCGCTGACGGTGGAGGGTCCTGTGTTGAATGTACACTTCTCCCTGGCGCTGACGGTGGAGGGTCCTGTGTTGAATGTACACTTCTCCCTGGCGCTGACGGTGGAGGGTCCTGTGTTGAATGTACACTTCTCCCTGGCGCTGACGGTGGAGGGTCCTGTGTTGAATGTACACTTCTCCCTGGCGCTGACGGTGGAGGGTCCTGTGTTGAATGTACACTTCTCCCTGGCGCTGACGGTGGAGGGTCCTGTGTTGAATGTACACTTCTCCCTGGCGCTGACGGTGGAGGGTCCTGTGTTGAATGTACACTTCTCCCTGGCGCTGACGGTGGAGGGTCCTGTGTTGAATGTACACTTCTCCCTGGCGCTGACGGTGGAGGGTCCTGTGTTGAATGTACACTTCTCCCTGGCGCTGACGGTGGAGGGTCCTGTGTTGAATGTACACTTCTCCCTGGCGCTGACGGTGGAGGGTCCTGTGTTGAATGTACACTTCTCCCTGGCGCTGACGGTGGAGGGTCCTGTGTTGAATGTACACTTCTCCCTGGCGCTGACGGTGGAGGGTCCTGTGTTGAATGTACACTTCTCCCTGGCGCTGACGGTGGAGGGTCCTGTGTTGAATGTACACTTCTCCCTGGCGCTGACGGTGGAGGGTCCTGTGTTGAATGTACACTTCTCCCTGGCGCTGACGGTGGAGGGTCCTGTGTTGAATGTACACTTCTCCCTGGCGCTGACGGTGGAGGGTCCTGTGTTGAATGTACACTTCTCCCTGGCGCTGACGGTGGAGGGTCCTGTGTTGAATGTACACTTCTCCCTGGCGCTGACGGTGGAGGGTCCTGTGTTGAATGTACACTTCTCCCTGGCGCTGACGGTGGAGGGTCCTGTGTTGAATGTACACTTCTCCCTGGCGCTGACGGTGGAGGGTCCTGTGTTGAATGTACACTTCTCCCTGGCGCTGACGGTGGAGGGTCCTGTGTTGAATGTACACTTCTCCCTGGCGCTGACGGTGGAGGGTCCTGTGTTGAATGTACACTTCTCCCTGGCGCTGACGGTGGAGGGTCCTGTGTTGAATGTACACTTCTCCCTGGCGCTGACGGTGGAGGGTCCTGTGTTGAATGTACACTTCTCCCTGGCGCTGACGGTGGAGGGTCCTGTGTTGAATGTACACTTCTCCCTGGCGCTGACGGTGGAGGGTCCTGTGTTGAATGTACACTTCTCCCTGGCGCTGACGGTGGAGGGTCCTGTGTTGAATGTACACTTCTCCCTGGCGCTGACGGTGGAGGGTCCTGTGTTGAATGTACACTTCTCCCTGGCGCTGACGGTGGAGGGTCCTGTGTTGAATGTACACTTCTCCCTGGCGCTGACGGTGGAGGGTCCTGTGTTGAATGTACACTTCTCCCTGGCGCTGACGGTGGAGGGTCCTGTGTTGAATGTACACTTCTCCCTGGCGCTGACGGTGGAGGGTCCTGTGTTGAATGTACACTTCTCCCTGGCGCTGACGGTGGAGGGTCCTGTGTTGAATGTACACTTCTCCCTGGCGCTGACGGTGGAGGGTCCTGTGTTGAATGTACACTTCTCCCTGGCGCTGACGGTGGAGGGTCCTGTGTTGAATGTACACTTCTCCCTGGCGCTGACGGTGGAGGGTCCTGTGTTGAATGTACACTTCTCCCTGGCGCTGACGGTGGAGGGTCCAGTGTTGAATGTACACTTCTCCCTGGCGCTGACGGTGGAGGGTCCAGTGTTGAATGTACACTTCTCCCTGGCGCTGACGGTGTTGGACAGACACATGAAATTCAATCAAATTTAGAAATCTTTTAAATGTTCATGTATCATTAAAATTTCAAAATTGTTGAAAAATAAAGGAACTTTTTCTGGGCACTTTTGATATCTTCCCCCGATATTGTAGCAAGACAGCTTGTCATGTGCAATAATGCTTACCCAGGGACGCTATTTCTTACTAAGATGAATATTCTTTGTTTATGACGGAAAATCTTATTCATCTGACAATCGCAAAAGTCAATACTATAACGTTTACAAATGAACTTAAAAAGATTCAAGGTGTACAATGTTTTATTCTATGATTTTACAAGCAGATCGTTCCTGTTGCATTCTTGCAGTCTTATCCTCTTACATAGCCTTATATAAATACTTTATGCTCAGTATCCTTACCTTGTCCAATGTGTCCGTACTGTTGGTCCAGTGGTTCCGAGGTATCCGTGGTGGGACTTTGTATTATTGGTGTTGTGTCTTGCATAGTCCTTCATTCGCTTCGTTGCTGTTTCCTCTTCCGGTAGACTATAAACACCACTACACATACCACAGATATAAAGATAACGACATCTATGGGCACGCCCACGTACACGATGGTCATGTGATTTTCATCTGAAAAAGTAAAAAAAAAAAAGACAGAAATAAACACAGCAATGTATATGATAAAAATAAAAATAAATCACCTGTAACCTGATTTACATATACTCCTAGAAATTCGATTGGCATGCGGATAAGAACCTGCTTAAGGTAAAATATCTTTTTTTATTATATTTTGTTTTATTTCAAACGGTTATTTTTACATTATCCATAAACATTAGTAGTGATATCAATTAAAAAAAGCAAGTGCCCGTAGAAACATAATTTACATTCAACATTATCCTATCGTTAGTATTTATCATAAAAATAGATATCATAAAAGCGACCATAAACTTGTCCAGTCTTCATCAACATGTATCTTTTGAAACTTTGTGTTGTATGTTGTATGCTCTGAAACACCAAAGGTTTAACGAAGCAGGGATGTAACTATCAAGTCAAGGAAATTTCAAGATTAGAAAATCGAAATCGTCTCTCTTATTGTATAGCTTTGTAGAAAGCTGTCTCTGATTGTCATGCTGTAAGTTAACGTTGAGGAAAGCGGCCAAAGTAGAGGAGTCTGTGTTTTTTATTTCAAGCTCAGCACGGTATATACAATAGACTTGATCGATACATCTAGTGCTATTCAAAGTTCGTCGATATATCTTAATGGAAAATAAGAAGGATGACTGATTTTTCTTTCCTTTCTTGATAATGTTTTTCAATGAATTCAGCCTCATACAAAAAAAACACAAGAACAACAGTTCGGCAGGGAGAGAGGTACAGTTTGTTCCCAAA